TGGCCCAGGATACCAACCCCAATCAGGAAAGCTCTGGCTGACCAATATAAACAGGTTATTTGAATCTCCTCAGTCCAGGGAACTGACTGAGCTGGCTGGCTGGAGCCAGTGAACTGTGCACAAGTAAATAAAGGGTGACTTGGTGATGGGATACTGGCCTCTGTGCAGTTATTTCAAGTAACATCCCATAACCACACCCTCGGGCAAAAAGTCAAATTCAGAAACAGATTCTTACATGCAATTTGCCAATCCAGGAGGGTAAAACATCAAGAGATTTCAGAGAAAGTAGCAGCTAGGAATCACTTACTGAACATTCCAACTCTTCTGAGACCCCAAACAGCTTCTGATGCTAAAGCTAAAAAAACTAGAAAGCCTGGTCTTTGACAGCTGGCTGCACCCATTCGGACTGTTTCCACTGTTCCAACTTTTTCTTTAAAAAAAGACCGAAAGACCTCACGTTTACTCTAGTAGTTCTGGTAGACTGTGTGCGCCTCTGCCTTGCAAACCCTCTTAAAGCCAAGACAAAATCTTTTAAAGTCACATCTCCCTCCTTCAAAAAAATGAACCATCGATATACAAAGATGGCTTCAGTTTAAAACCCTTAGTCTTGCCCTCCAATACACACCCATTCATGCTACTTCTTTTGTTCCAATTTTAAAAAATCCCCAAGGTCTCTCAAGCTGTTTACTTTATTGGCTTCGAGTGGACCTCTCTATACCTCTGTCTGAACCTTTCTTCATTAAAAAAACTAGAACAAAATACACCTCTTGAAGCCATAGTTTTGTCAGTGATTTTTTTTCTTTTGATGCTAGGGTCAAATTTAAAGCATAAAACATAACTACTGGTAATCCAGAAAATGATGGCTTTTATTTACTTGTAAAACAGCAATCACTTTTTCTATGGTTCAGAGTAATTCTAAAACTTCCTTCACACTCCCTGTGCTCTTGCATAGTCCATACTTATTGCAGGGATTGTGAACTTCAGTTATATGGAAAGATTGAGGTTATTCTCCTCGGAGAATAGATCATTTTAGAGATTGAGTCATTTGAAATCATCTGTCAGGGACAGAGTTGATGTTTTCCTAATCAACCTGTTAAGAGATGTTAGTACATACCTTTAGAGCATGTGGGACTTGAACCTAGGTCCCCTAGAGCCCTAAAGAAACAAGTGGAAACATCCTGTGTATTCTGTCAACCTGGGACCTTTGGATCTTCAGTCTAACAATCACTGTTATGGAATGATTGAGAGCCAGACAGAACAGTTAAAGTAATTAGTGAAAGAAGCAATGGAAATATAAGGAAAATCTGTTACACTGAGTTGTTAGGATCTGGAATGCACAGCCTTAGTGTGTACTGAAGGCAGATTAAGTTGTGACTTTCAAAAGAGAATTGGATTATTATCTGAAGAGAAACCACTTGCAGGGCTGTGGGGAAAATACAGATTGACACAAATTATATTGCTTCCTCAGAGGGCCAAGCTAATTGGAAAAATCATTGTTTTTGCCTCCATTTCAGATATTTCATGATGTTGCCTACAAAGCCAAGGATCGGAGCGACCTACTTGCTGGGATTGATGAATTTCTTGATCAGGTGACTGTTTTGCCCCCAGGTGAATGGGACCCTTCCATCCGAATTGAGCCACCAAAAAATGTTCCATCTCAGGTATGCCTTTTCCCTTGCTATCACTGAAATCCTTTAAGAAGCTACTTGTAGACATTGCCAGCAGAACCAATATATGACACTGGCAAATTGTGCTGATAACCACAGTGCTATAACAGTGGGATACAGTGAGCAGAATTGACCCATTAAAGAGGGAGTGAGAAAACACTTACCCTTGAATTAATTTAAAAATTGAAGATTTTTTCTTAGAATAATGTCATTGGCAAGAGCAGCATTTCTTGCCTATTCCCATTTGCCTTTGGACTGAGTGGTTTGCTGGACCATTTCAGAGGGCAGTTAATAGTCAACCACATTGTAGTGGGCCTGGAGTCACATGTCAGCCAGACCAGGTAAGGAAGATAGATTTCCTTCCCTAAAGGACATTACTGAATAGATAGGTTTTTGATACCTGATACTATTCTCAGTCAACATTACTGATCCTTAGAATAGGATTTTCTCCTCCCAAGACGTGGTGGAGAAAGTAGCAGGGAGGGCACTTAATTGGGCAGGATGACACCAGGGAGATACCTACATCCTTCTTGCCACATCAGAAATTGAGAAAGGGAACGAGAGTGGAGAAAGAGAAGGGGAGAAGATGGGGAATAGGAGAAAGAGAAGAAATGAAAGTGAACAAGATAGAAGACAAAAAGAAAGGGAACTGACCTGGAACAAGAGTGAAAAAGGAGAAGAATCCAAAGGGAATGACATAGAGAAACTGAGGATACTGTTAGTGCACCTACCAACAGCAGGTGAACCCTCGAAGGCCTGGTTCAATGGCCCATATACCATAGCTGAGAAGCTTGGGTAAATGTGAATTATCTGTGTGAATGTAATATGTGAAAATAGCCCTAGATAATGGAAAAAATCAAAGGTACATGTCAATGTGATAAAACAATACCACCACCAAGAAGGGGACAAGCAGGTAGTCATCTGTCCCATTGCCATCAATCTAGAAGATGAGGGTAGTAGCAAGGATGAATTAGAGGGAGGTGTGGGTCACACTTGGCTCTCTACTTTTTGATATACCAATACAAAAATATGAGCAAACTTAAGAGTCCTTATTTGCTCACCCACATGCAGAGCAGTAAGCAGACCTACCTTGGCATAATGCAGAGACAAACCAGACTGCACTGTCCTAGCTCCACATGATGTGGATGTGGGAAAGGTCTCTCCCATAAGCTAACATCCCTGTAGGCTAGGCCCAGAAAAGCTGGCCCAGTTTTAAGAGGAGATTAACAACATACTAGAGCACCAACTAATGGAGCCCAGCTGCAGTAGCTGGAGCTCCTCAGTTGTACTTGTGCCCAAGCTGGATGGCTCTGCATTGACTACTGAAAAACTAATGCAGTAATCAGAGTCAACTCGTACCAATACACTGGCCGGAATGTTGCATAGACAGGATAGATAAAGCAGCCTATATTACCAAGATATATTTTTACAAGGGGTACCGACAAGTTCCCTTGACTATCCACACAAAGAATATCTGTGCCTTTGTTCCTCCAGGTAGTTTCGGCAAGTGTTTGGTCTTGCCATTTGGACTGCAAAATGCCCAGCCACCTTTTCAAAGGCTGATGATCCAAATAGTGGCAGGTTTATCTAATTTTGTTGTGTACCCAGATGACTTGGTGTACAGTGACACCTGGGAAATGCACTTTGATCAACTGGAATCCCTCTTCTGGGAAATAGTCAGTTGACCTAGTAGTCAATCTCTCAAGGACCAAGTTCACTCAGACCTATGTGACCCATCAAGGACATGTATTGAGTTGAAGACAAGTACAGCTCAGGGCCACAAAACTGGAAGTAGCAGCACAATTCCTCATTCCCACAACAAATGGGAAATCATGATGTTCTTAAGAACATGTTTGTCCAAAGGTTGGAGCAGCCTGTGGCAGAGCCCACGAGGGAACAGGCAATTCTGGATTTGGTGATATGTAATGAGGCAGACTTGTTTAGGGAGCCTAAAGTAAAGAACCCATACAGGCAGTGACCATAATATAATGGAATTCATCCTGCAGTTTGAGGGAGAAACTGGAATCAGATGTCAATGTTATAATTGAGTAAAGGTCTCTGCAAGACAAGAGGGAGGTGCTGGCCAGAGTTGATTGGAAGGGGAGCTGAGCAGGGAAGATGGTGGAGCAGCAATGGCAGGAGTTTCTGGGAGTAATTCAGGAGGCACAGCAGAAATTCATCCCAAGGAAAAAGAAACATACTAAAGTGAGGATGAGGCAACCATGATTGACAAGGGAAGTCGGGGACAATATGAAACAAAAGGATTCAATGTGGTGAAGATTAGTGGGAAGCTAAAGGATTGGGAAGTCTTCAAAAATCAACAGAGGATAACTAAAAAAGCAAAAGGGGGAGAAGATGAAATGAGGGTAAGCTAGCTAGTCATATAAAACAAGATTGCAATAGATTTTCAAACAAATGAAAGGTAAAATTGGACACTGGACTGCTAGAAAATGAGGTTGGAGAAGTAATGTTGGGGAACAAAAATGGCAGAGGAACTCCATTGGTATTTTGCATCAGTTCAGTGGAAGACACCAGTAGCATAATAGAACTTCAAGAGAGTAAAGGAGCAGAGCTACATGCAATGGCCATTACTAAGGAGAAGGTGCTGGGGAAGCTGAAAGGTCTGAAGGTGGATGAATCAGATGGACTACACCCCAGCGTTCTGAAGTAAATAGCTGAGGAGATTGTGGAGGCATTGGTGGTGATCTTTCAGGAATCACTGGAGTCATGTCCAGTACCAAAGGACTGGAAAATGGTTAATGTAACACCCTGTTTAAGAAGGGATACAGAAGATGGAAATTATAAGCCAGTTAGCCTTACCTCAGTCATTGCTAAGATTTGAGTCCCTTATCAAGGATGAGATTGTACTTGGAAGTGCATGGTGTAATAGGGTTGAGTCAGCATGGCTTTGTCAAGGAGGTGGGAGTCACACTTGAAAAATCTGTTAGAACTCTTGGGTCTTAACTAGCAAGTCAGACAAAGGAGAACCTGTGGATGTACCTATTTGGATTTCCAGAAGGCCTTTGATAAAGTGCTACACAGGCTGCTAAATAAGATAAGAGCCCATGGTGTAAGGGACAAGGTACTGGCATGGATAGAGGATTGGCTGACTGGCAAAAGGCAGAGTGGGGATAAAGGGATCTCATTCAGAATGGCAGCCAGAGAACTAGTGGAGTTTGGCAGGGGTCAGTGTTAGGACCACAATTATTCATGTTTTATATTAATGAGCTGGATGAAAGAAGTAAAGGCATTGTTGCAAGTTTGCAGGTGACAAATATTTGGAGGGACAGATAGATTTGAGGAGGTAGGGAGGCTGCAGAAGGTGTTGGGCAGGCTAGGAGAATGTATTCCAACTGCTACTACTTTGCCCAATTTGGGAAAGTGAGGCTGTGCACTCTGGTGTTAAGAACAAAGGTGTGGACTATTTTCTAAATGTGGAAAGACTTCAAAAATCTAAAGCACAAGGGCACTTGAGTCCTAGCTCAGGATTGCCTTAAGGTTAACATGCAGGTTTAGTTGGCAGTTAGGAAGGCAAATGCAATGTAACTCATTTCAAGAAGGCTAGAATACAACATCAGATGTACTGCTAGGGCTGTATAAGACTCTGAACAGACAACATTTGGAATGTTGTGAACAGTTTTGGGCCCCAAATCTAAGGATGTGTTGGCCTTAGATAGGGTCTAAAGGAAATTTACAAGAAAGATCCCAGGGATTGTCAAATGAGGAGTAGTTGAGGACTCTGGGTCTGTACTCAAATGAGTATAGAAGGATGAGGGAAGAATTTCACTGAAACTTACAGAATACTGAAAAGGCCTGGATAGAGTGGACATGACGCTGTTTCCACTAGTAGGAGAGATTAGGACCAAAGGGCATGCTTCAGAGTAAACGGATGACCCTTTAGAACTGAGATGAAAAGGGATTTCTTCAACCAGAGGGTGGTGAATTTGTGGAACTCATTGCCGCAGAAGGTTGTGGAAACCAAGTCGTGAAGTATATTTAAATCAGATGGATAGGTTCTTGATTGGTAAGGGGATCTGAAGAGACCCACTTAGAACTGAAAATAATATTGATCAAGGCTGAGAGAACTAATTGTGACAATATATTTGTTTAATTTTAGCCATATTCTTCCTTTTTGTAATGAAATAAAACTTGCACTCATTTCATTCATCATGTGGGGGGAAGTGTCTCAAAAATAAATCAGAACCCAAATTACTTAGGAAATGTTGAAATTTTAAATACAGCATGGTTTTTTAAAGCAAGACATACATCCTCTGCCATTTTTTGGTTTGTATGTTCAGTGGTTGTCTAAGTCCTTTTGTGGATCACTGTTTCCTGAGAGGAAACATGAAATGTTGCACCTAAAGAGTGTCAAGGGAATGCCAGACAACATCTCAATGGAAGAGATACCATTGGAAAAAAACTGAAGTGTGATCACATCTGGGTTATGTCCCAGACTATGGGCATGATGTGAATTGAAAGAAAGGGAATTCTGGGCAAAAGGCATGTTTATATTTTCTTCCAGGGAAAATCTAGTCTACATATGCAAGAGAGCTTGTCTGCTATTGTGCTACCCTGTCATTCAGGTTTCACTGTCCTGAAGTTGTATGTAGAGGGGCACAGTTCAGAACTTCCACTAGACACTCCTGCAAATGCAGGTGAAGTAAATAAAGTCTGTCTATCTGATTGTTGAGAGCAAGGCAGTATAGGCAATATAAAAGGAATAAAAACAGAAAATGCTTGAGAAACTTGGCAGGTCTGGCAAGATCTAGAGAAACAGTTAACGTTTCAGGCTTAGTATGACTCTTCTTCACTGTTCAAGGAAATTGGGGGAAAAACTCCTTTCAGTTAGCCTCATAACCAAGAACATCCAAACAACTGTTCAGCTGCCAAAGTCAGCACTACTGGAAACAGCCATCTTAACATCTGCAACATTTCACAACTAATTCATCGTAAAATGAAAAATTGTTTCATATAATCCTTTTTTAACCTTTCAGTCCCATATCTTGTTTCTAATCTGTGTATGTGTCATGTATTGTTAACTTCTCTTGTATTTTAGTAACTAATAAGCTTATTCTTTCTTTAAATTGGCTCCTTTTAAAACATAACTACATTTGGGCTGGGAAAATGTATCCATGAGGAAGGAATCCTTTTTAAGTTATTCTTGTGACTAACCAAGGGAGGGTTTGAATAAAGAGGGGGAGCCAGTTCATTGTTCCTCACTAGGGATCATAACGAATTGGGAACTCTCACCCAGGAATCAGAACACTGCAGTAAGCACCCTGGCCTCCCTGAAGTGACATTGCTGTTCACAGTGGCTGCTGGCACCTTGTAGTAGCTGGGACATTGCTGTCCCAAGAAGTAATGCACTGAGAGGCCTCCAAGGTGACTACTTAGGTGCTTGACAGGCACTTGATTTGGTAGACTTTATTGTTGGTGAAAGTAGCATCACTCTCAATCACTAACTCAAAATTGGAAAATCTCAATTTGTTTCAATTTCAGACTTTAAATTCCACCAGCTGCCCTGGTAGGATTTGAAACCAGATCCCTAGAATGTAAGTTTGAGCCTTTGGTTTGCTGGTGCTACCGAATCACTGTGGTAACACTACACCACCCTTGACTATTCAACATTGTGTTTAATCACATTGAAGCTATATAGAGTTCCTGCATTGATTATCTACAGACATGTAGATACAAGACATGATGTAGAAGTGATTCACTGTGCATTCAGTCTAACTCCTACTTCTATCATGTACAATAGGAGAAACGGAAGCAGCCTGGCATCCCAAATGGTAATGCTTGCCATGTTGAGCCTGAGCCACAAGTGGGGCACAGTGGTCCTGAACTGCAGCGCACAGGAAGGTCTGTTAAAGTTTAATGAGCATGCTTAAGTGATTGGATATCTTATTTGTAATGTAACCTGTTGTTCTCTATTTGCATTCAACACCTCCACTCTGACTCTTTCCCTTTATTTTAAATTTTTTAGATTTCAGCCAAATGACACAGCTATAGTGCATGTACAGATGTGATATTTGCTGTAGGCTTTCGGTTTTATGGCTGAAAAGTAATCGCATCTGCTGAGATTTAAATTCCCGCTCTCATGCGTGCAAACATTCTACCACCAGGGTGTTCAGCCATTCAAAATCCTTTCTTCCCTTGCTCTCTCTCAAACAAAAACTTCACAGGAACTGAATGTATCATTTAAAATACAAAACCTATATATCTATAACAATTTTGATACCTAACAATGAGGTTGCATCAGAAATATTTTTTCATGCATCTAAATAATAGAATACAGAATTTTTGATAATATTAAATGTAATGACAATACTTTGTGCCCATACCAGATGTAGCCACCGAACTTGGTCCAACTCTACAAGACTCACAGCTTCAGTTTTTTACATTACATTCAACCTGTTAATTCACTTCAGAGTATGTTGCAATAATCAATAACATACTCTTATTTCTAGCTATACCCAGGGACATAACAATCTAGTTATTTCTTTAAATCATAAGATAAATGTCTGAATTTTTTGATTTTTACAAAGTCATTTAAAGTCTTCTATTGGATTGAAATTTTGCGCACATTTTTAAAGCATGTAAATGCTAATCCACTTCCATATATTAATCACAGCATTTCTGAAAACTATCTTAGAGTTGTTTCCCCTCTGAAATAACTGCAGAGGCTGGTATCCTGTCACCAAGTCACCCTTTATTTACAGTACACTGGCTGTGGCCAACCAGCTCAGTCAGTCCCCCTGAACTGAGGAGATTCTAACTATTCTGTTTATATTGGTCAATGGGACTTTCCTGATTTGGCCTGGGTTAACAACCCCAGTCAAGAATATCTTAGTCAACAAGGTCCACCTGGTTCCGATCAGTACATCCCTGCCCCTCCCAAGTCCAGGGATGTAGGCCTGATCTTTCTCTTGTAGCTTTCTCTGACGTCTTCACCAGGTTCAGTTCCTCCAATTCAGACTCTGACACAGGCAGCATGTATGGGACTGTAGCTCATCTCTTGCGTCTGAAGCATCTTGCAAGCTTCTGGCGGCAGCAGCATCAAGGCTGCATCTGTCTTGGACTGCGTAGCTTCTTCAACACTAGACAGAGGGGGAAAACCTACAGTTTCTGACAGTAGAGATAATGTGTAGAGCTGGATGAACACAGCAGGCCGAGCAGGAAGGCTGACGTTTCAGGCCTAGACCCTTCTTCAGAAATTCAGTTTCTGACAGGCCGTCTGGCTATCCTGACGGGCCAGGTATGTTTTGCTCCTTGCCTGTTTGCAAGGAAACAGCTTTCAGGTGATCCACGTGTTTGTTCAGGACTATCACCTAACAGACCTTTGAGTCATTGGACCTTACCTTGAGTCCACTTTGCACTGTACCCATACAGGGCCATTTCCATGGTTCCAACACCAAACTTCATCCCCTGAACTAAATCTTCTTGCTTAGAGGAGGCATTTGGCTGTCACTGGCATTTCTGCTGCCATATCACCCTCAACCCCCACCCTTGTCTGGGTATATCAGGTTTAACCTGGTGTGGAGTCTTTTCCCAATCAGCAACTCTGCTAGAGCTATCCCTGTTGTTGCATGAGGGGTGGTTCTATAATCAAACAGGAACCGTGATAGTTTGGTATTGAGTGAGGCTGTAGGCTGCTTCTTTAAGCCTGCCATCAACATTTGGACCTCTCTTTCCACTAGACCATTGGATGATGGATGGTGCAGAGATGTTGTTACATGCCAAATGCCATTCAACTTCAGGAAATACTCAAATTCCTTGCTGGTAAATTACGTCCTATTGTCTGTGACCAATACTTGCGCAGGTCCATGTATCACAAATGATGCTCACAGCTTCTCAGTTGTCATCCCTGAGCTTGCCAAACGAGCTTTATGCATGTCCAGCCACTTTGAATGGGCATCCACGATGACTAGGAACATTGGGGCCGTGAAAGGACCATAGACCAGAGATGAATGGTGGAGACAAAAGGGGACTGGCACAGGGGCAGCAAGTCCCAGGCCAGGCCAACATGAGTGACAAGTCCCAGAGGCCAGCGCAGGGGTGGCAGTGTGTCTATTGGGGATGGCAAGTGAGGCCTCCAGGATCTCCTACATGCTTAACCCAGCACTCAAAGCTGCCACAGACTAGGTTAAAAGACTACAGTACTTTCTTTTTTTAAAAAAAAAAACTTCTTAATCCTTCATTCTTATGCTGAACTTTTTAGTTATGATTATTTCAAGTCTGTAACACAAGTATCCTGTATCTTGGTACCCTGTACCTAAGATGGCACCGAGGGGCAACATTACAAACTTTTCACTGCACTCATTTGAGTGGATGTGATAAATAAGGCTTATTCTAATTCTAGTCAATATGTAACTGGGCCCAGGGTTTACTCAGCCTTCCCCAAGAATGGGGGGGGGCCACCACTGGTGGCAATTTTTGTCCTTGTTAGCACCCCAGACACTGCTGCACCATCATAGCTATGTTGGCATTTGACCCTGGCTACCAGACATAGCATCTCACCAGCATCTTCATCTTGGAAACCCCTGGATGATCCTAGTGGAATTTGGCCAGTATCTGGCAGCAACCTTTTACTCGGGACAAGCAGTCACTCTTGCTCCTTGTAGTAATATGCCGTTCACTATGGTGATCTGGTCTCTCTGGATCCAGAAAGGTTTCAGTCCTAGTTGTAATCACCCTTCTGTCTCCCCCATTACTACCAGCTGCAAGAAGCTGTCTACCACTTGCTTAAAATCCCCACAAGGGCAAACTGACCCATCAGGCTTCACAATCAGTACATCTGGTGCTGCCTATTCTGCAAACTGCACTGGTTTGATTCCTTCACTCTCCAGCCTCCTGATTTCTGTCTCTAAAGCCTGCAAAGCAAATGGCAATGGGCAGGCCATGCAAAATTGCAGAATTGCTTCCTGGTCAATGTGTAAAGTGGCTTTGGCCCTTTCGATAGTCCCAAGTCCTTCCTGGACACCCTTCTGGTCACCACTGACAATATCCCACTCAGTACCACTGAAATAACTGCACAGAACCTGGTATCCCATCACCAAATTACACTTTATTTACTTGTGCATAGTACACTGGCTGTGGCCAGCCAGCTGGGAGTCAGTCCCCAGGACTGAGGAGATTCTAAATCCCCTGTTTATATTGGTCAGCCAGGGCTTCCTGATTTGGCCCAGGTTAAGAACCCCAATCAAGGCTCTCATAGTCAACAAAGTCCACCATGTTCCAATCACTACACCCTCCTACCATATGTCACATGCTGCCTTTATCATATTCTGTACCAAATCCCACACTCTGTGGAAATGTGCATTTGATTTCAGTCCCCCCCGGTGCATTCCATTTATGATTGTCATCCTTGTGTTCGAATCTTTGTCTGGTCTTGCATTTTCCTAATCTCTTACAGCTGTACAATTACCCCAAAACTTTCAACCCTCTTGATTCTGGCCTTCACTACACAATTTGCTGTCATGCCTTCAGAAGGTCAAAAGTCACATGACACCAGGTTATAGTCCAGCAGGTTTGTTTGAAAACACAAGCTTTCATAGTCTCACTCCTTCAGGTGTCAGTGAAAGAGGTGGTATCAGACTCAGAATTTATAAGCAAAAGATCAGAGTCATAGAACTGTTGTGAATGTATTGAACAAACCTATACATTCTGTTTTGTTCAAAAAGCACACAATTTGTAGACAAAATTTGAGGGAGGTTGTGGCCTAGTGGTGTTATCACTAGACTATTAATCCAGAGACTGAGCTAATGTTCTGGGAGCCTGGGTTTGAATTCCACCACAGCAGCTGGTGGAATTTGAATTCAATAAAAAAATTCTGAAATTAAGAATTTAATGATGACCGTAGAACCATTTCCAATTTTTGGAAAACCATCTGGTTCCCAAATGTCCTTTTAGGGAAGGAAATCTGCCATCCTCACATGGTCTGGCCTACATATGACTCCAGACCCATAGCACTGTGATTGACTCTCAATTGCCCTCTGAAATGGCTGAGTAAGCTATTCAGTTGCATCCATCACTACAAAGTCCCATAGAAATAAAACTAGATGGGCTACATGCCATCAACCTAGGCACTGGAAAAGGCAATGGCAGAAACAGCTCTGTCAACCCTGCAAAGTCCTCCTCACTAACATCTGGGGGGTAGTGCCAAAATTGGGAGACCAGTCTTACAGACTATGTCTCAGACACCACCGTCACCATCCCTGGCTATATCCTTACCACCGGCAGTACAGACCCAGCATAGGTGGCAACATAGTGGGATACAGTTGGGAGGGAGGTGCCCTGGACATCCTCAACATTGACTCTGGACCTCATGGAGTCTCATGGCTTCAGATTAAACATGGGCATGGAAACCGCCTGCTGATTACCACATACCATCCTCCTTCGGCCAATGAACGGGTAGTCCTCCGTATTGAACAACACTTGGAGGAAGCACTGAGGGTGGCAATGGTGCAAAATGTACTCTGGATGGGGGATTTCAGTATCCACCACCAAGAGTGGCTTGGCAGCAGTACTACAGATCAAGCTGGTCGGGTCCTAAACTGCTGGACTGGGTCTGCGGGAGGTGGTGAGGGGACTAACAAGAGGGAAAAACATACTTGACCTCATCCTTACCAATCTACCAGCTGCAGATGCATCTGTCCATGACAGTATCAGTAAGAGTGACCACTGCACAGTCCTGGTGGAGACAAAGTCCCGCCTTCACACTGAGAATAATCTCCATCGTGTTGTGTGGCACTATCACCGTGCTTAAATGGGACAGACTTCGCACAGATCTAGCAACTCAAGACTGGGCATCTGTGAGGTGCTGTGGGCCATCAACAGCAGCAGAATTGTACTCCAGCACAATCTGTAACCTCATGGTCTGGCATATCCCCCACTCAACCATTACCAGCCAGCCAGGGGATCAACCCTGGTTCAATGGAGGGTGTAGGAGGGCATGCCAGAAGCAGCACCAGGCACACCTAGAAATGAGGTGTCAACCTAGTAAAGCTACCAAACAGGACTACTTGCATACCAAACAGTATAAACAGCAAGTGATATACAGATCCAAGCAATCCCACAACTAACAGATCAGATCTAAGCTCTGCAGTCTTGCCACATCCAGTTGTGAATGGTGGTGAACAATTAAACACTTCACTGGAGGAGGAGGCTGCACAAATATCCCCATCCTCAATGATGGAAGAGCCCAGTACATCAGTGCAAAAGATAGGCTGAAGCATTCGCAGCAATCTTTGGCCAGAAGTGCCGAGTGGATGATCCATCTTGGCCTCCTCCAGTGGTTCCCCAGCATCATGGATACCAGTCTTCAGCCAATTTGATTCACTCCACGGGATATCAAGAAATGGTTGGAGCCAGTAGATGCTGCAAAGGCTATGAGCCCTGACAGCATGCTGACGACGTGCTCCAGAACTTGCTGCACCCCTAGCCAAGCTGTAATACTATCATCTACCCGACAATGTGGAAAATTACCTTGGTATGTCCTATAGGTAAAAAGAAGGCCAAATCCAACCCAGCCAATTACCACCCTATCAATCTACTCTTGACCATTAGTAAAGCCAGGGGAGGCGATGGCTTAGTGGTATTATTATTGGACTGTTAATCCTGAGACCCAGAAACCATTTTGGGGACCTAGGTTCGAATCCCACCATAGCAGATGGTGGAATTTGAATTCAATAAAATATCTGGAATTAAGAATCTAATGGTGACCATGAATCCATTGTCAATTGTTGTAAAAACCCATCTGGTTCACTAGTGCCCTTTAGGGAAGGAATGAATTTAAAAATATAATGATTTTTAAAAAAAGTGATGGAAGGTGTCATCAACAGCGCTGTAAAGCAACACCTGCTCAACAGTAACCTGCTCAGCGATGCCCAGTTTGGGTTCTGCCAGGATCACTTTTCCTCATTATAGCCTCAGTTCAAACATGGACAAAAGACCTGAATTCTAGAGGTGAGGTGAGAATGACAGCCCTTGACATCAAGGCTGCACTCAACCAAATGTGGCATCGAGGAGCCCGAGCAAAACTGGAATCTATGGGTAGCATGGGTAGCATAGGCAAACTCTCTGCTGGTTGGAGCCATACCTGACACATAGGAAGATGGTTGTGTTTCTTGGAGGTCAGTCATCTCAGCTCCAGGACATCTCTGCAGGAGTTCTTCAGGACAGTGTCCTAGGCCCAACCATCTTCAGCTACTTCATCAATGACCTTTCCTCCATCATAAGGGCAGACATGGGGATAATCAATGATGATTACACAATGTTCAGCACCATTTGCGACTCCTCAGATACTGAAGCAGTCCGTGTTCAAATGCAACAAGATCTGGACAATATCCAGGCTTGGGCTGACAAGTGGCAAGTAACATTCGTGCCACACAAATGCCAGGCAATGACCATCTCCAACAAGAGACAACTTACCACCATCCTTTGACATTCAGTGATGTTACCTTCACTGAATCCCCCACTACCAACATGCTTAGGGTTACCATTGACTGGAGACTCAACTGGACTCACCACATAAACACGGTGACTACAATAGCAAGTTAGAGGTTCGGAATACTGCAGCAGTTAACTCACCTCCTGACTCCCCAAAGCCTGTCCATTATCTACAAAGCACCAGTGAGGAGTGTGATGGAATACTCCCCACTTGCCTGGATGGGTACAGCTCCAACACCACTCAACAAGCTTGACATCATCCAGGACAAAGCAGCTCACTAGATTGCCACCACATCCACAACCACAACCATCCACTCCCTCCACAACCAACACCCAGTAGCAGCAGTGTGTATTATCTATGAGATAAACTGCAGAAGTTTACCAAGGATCCTTAGACAGCGCCTTCCAAGCTCACAACCATTTCCCTCTAGAAGGACAAGGGCAGCCAATATATAGGAATACCACCACCTGCAAGTTCCCCTCTGAGCCACTCATCATTTTCACTTGGAAATATATCACCGTTCCTTCACTGTCACTCAACTCCTGGAAATTCCTACCTAACGGCATTGTGGGTCAACCCACAGTAGGTGCACTGCAGCAGTTCAAGAAGGTAGCTCACCACCACCTTCTCATGGGGTAACTAGGGATGGGCAATAAATGCTGTCCAGCCAGTGATACCCATGTCCCACAAATGAATTTACAAAATACAAAGAATGGTTTTCAAACACTGCCTTTTGAAAACTGGAAGACAAGGTAATGGTTTAACTTATTATTATTATTATTATTATTATTATTAATAATAGTTGGAGCAGTTCATTATAACTCTGCTGACTTACTTCCTCCAGATATCCAGCATTATTTTCATCATTTCTGCTCACTTTAGCAACATTAATCTAATTTCGAATTTCTACAAGTGTCCAATTTTTTTGACATCCAAGTTCCCCTTGAAGTTTGTAGCATTGAGAGCCATTGAAGTTGGTTATATTAAATTTCTGATGTTGAGTATTATCAGGCTGTAGATATTAAGTTGGATTTGAAACAAACATTTCGTGAAACAATTAAACCTTTTAATTATATCTGTTGGAATTGTTATAAATTACTTATAGTACAAAATAAATAAATACTAAATAGGCAATGGTTGCATATAACTTTGTGGAAATTTTTTGTTTAAAGTGAATTATTTCCTTTCTACCAGGCTGTTTGGAGGTTTGATCCTTGATGTCAAACGGAAGATGCCCTGTTTCTGGAGTGATTTTAGGGATGCCTTCAGTTTACAGTGTGTGGCATCCTTCCTGTTCCTGTACTGTGCCTGCATGTCTCCTGTAATCACATTTGGTGGTCTCTTGGGCGAAGCAACAGAAGGACGCATAGTAAGATCATTGAGGATGTTGGTGCATTTAGATTATTATTTTTCTGTAAAATATGAGCAATGCCTCGGGC